GTAACTCCATTTTGAAGCTTTGTGTTTCGTGCTTCGCAAGTGCGACTCCACTACCTTAATTCCCATCGTTCTGAGCTTTAATGACTTCTTGCACTAAATCCACTGAGCCTCATGTATGTTCCCTGGTTTTAGCCATGGAGAAAACTCTTGGCTGGAGACAATTTTGGTTACATTTACACTTGCTCATATTTTCCAGACAAAAAGTTAATGGTGCATCTCCCAAATGTTCCGGCCGCAACAACGCTTTTATTGGTTCCGCTATCGGGACGGAACCAATAATGGCGAGCCGTTATATATATTTTTTAAATAAAAAAAGAATTGTCAATCTTAATGTTTTATTTAGATTACAAAAAAAATCATTATAAAAATAATCCTATTTATGATGTTTTAAAAATTAAGACCTACGAAAGACTAATTTAAGACATTTTAATACCAATTAAGGCCTTAGTTTTATTTTGAAGAATTCAATGCCTTTTAAGACTTTTTAAGGACCTGCAGGAACCCTGAGGTGATGAAGATGAGGATCAAACGGAGGAAGAGGGAAGAGTTAGCTAAAGAAGCTGCTGCTACGAGATGCTAACCTTGATGGAGAGTTACGCTAAAGGAGCTCCAGGTTCTAACTAAGACTGTTAGCGGTTAGCACCAGGATCAAAACATTTTCTCTGATTTATCAGAACGATGAGATACTCCTTCATTATCCTCTGATTTGATGTTGACTTCACCTTAGCTTCCGCTAACGGTGTTAGCTCTAGCTAATACAGTAAACAGAAGATCAGATTGTTCCAGCAGATATCTGATGTAGAGCGGCTCATGAAAACTCTGAGGCAGCGACGCAGTGCTAATGCTAACCCACATGTAATGCAATAAAAAGCAGCTCTGCTAACGTTAGCCTTCCTGGGCTAACATTAGCAGATCAGAGTCCGAATAGATCTGGATCAAACTGGTTCATCAAGAGAAGCGGTCTAGTCAAAGCCCAGGACTTCTCCACGACGATATGAAGACAAACCCCACCAAGAAGCGAAGCCATGCGTGAACTTAGCGTTCAATTAGCATCATTAGCTGGGTGAGGTAATGGTCACAGCCAACAGGAGCTGATTCTTACTCTTTGATCTTTTTGTCCCCCTGGTGGATCTGATGCAGGTTGGCGCTGTCCAACAGTCCCTCCTGCTGCAGGATGAAGGTGTCTCCGTATAAACTCAGCCTCTGGAGGTTCCTGGAGGAGAAGCAGACGAACCAACAAACCTGTTATTGTGATGGAGGAACACCGGGACCCTCCTGGTTCTGTTTGAATAAACTGGATCTGTTTGGTTCCGTCGGGGTCGAGTCCAGCCCGGCTGCCCGGCACCGTGACGCCAACCCTGCAGTTCAGCTTTCATTCCAGATGTTTGACTGTGAAATGTTAGAAAAAGGTTTAATGGAGGCATTTTACTCCAGAAAACTACGGTAGCTGAGAAGAGCCAATGCCAGGAGAAAACAGGCTTTCACTGCAAATTCAGAAAGTTAGACAAAAACATTTAGAGATGATGCTGAAAAACACAAAAATATGACGGAGAAAAAAAAAATTCATCAGGGCTGAGGAGCTCCAGACCACCAGGGGGAGACTATCATCGGCTCGCCTGAGAGCAGACCCTCATTAGAGCCATAAAGTGGAGGGTCAGAGGAAATGGCTGTTTTTCGGTTCACAGAAACGCCAGTACTGGTCCTATAGTGACTCCATTACAGATGGAGTAATGTAACTAAAGTAATTCCTCCCTGGGATTATCAAAGTATTTCTGATTCCTGGTTGATGGGACAGGTGTTGTGAATGAAACGGTGCCCAGCTTGAAAGAGCTC